TTTACTGTTGATCTTTTTTATCTTCAAAACATTAGCCAATTCAACAACACCTGTTTACTTTTTTCACATCTTTGCCTTAATTGTTGACTGAATACTTATCTCTGTCCTCAAGTGACTTTATGATACATGGTGAGATAAGTCGAATGCCTTAGTTTAAAATAGTGAATGAGTGTCCTAAAATCATATCACATAAATATAGCTGGAGTAACCCCCTTTATGTTCGTGTTGAATATTCACATTAGCTACTACTTTTAGTAGCTAAACAACATAGATTCGACTTAATTCAGCTTAATAAACAGAAACACAGAAACTTCCCAAAAGTAACAATTAACTAATTATCACTTAATCTTGAAAAGACAAGAGCCTGAGCTAATGGGTGTTTTCGTTAAAGTTCTATCAGGCTCTTCCTTTAATAATAATAATAATAATAATAATGGTAATCACTTTGATACTGGGTGTTGACTGGAGGTGAAATAAAAATTTGAACAGGGGCCGGATTCAAACCAACGACTACCGGGTTCCCCACCTGATGCTCAACCAACTGGGCTACGAGATCCTACAACTGACCAGATTTTAATTTTACTTCAATCATCAGAAGTTTTGGCCAACCACTAAGTGAATTCGTGATGCGTGGCTGCCTAGTCAGGACTTCTCATCCCAATCCAAATCTACCTGAATTAGAGAGGGGGAGCATCATACTGATTATCATTTTGATTGAAGTGAAATAAATATCTGGTCAGCAGTTGGATCTCATAGCTCGTTTGGTAGAGCATCGGGCCGGAAACCTGGTGGTTCGAATTCGGACAAATTTTTATTTCACCTCTAATCATCACCCGGTATCAATACTAGTCTGCCAAACCACGTTTATCTCAGATAGTCAAAATGATAATAATCGTTTTATTCCAAATAACGTGTATGATACAGTATAGAATTCTCAGCTCGTAATTTTTCAACAGAGTTATTCCCAGAACAATATTTTTAGACGAGCTGATTATTGGATTTGAATGATGTTAATAATAAAAGTATTCAAGGCAATCGTGTAAAATAGCCAGGTGGTGTGGAATGAAGACTCAGTAGAAAAGTGAGAGTAAGTTTGATGTTAATGATTCATTCAGCCAGTACAAGAATCTGCAACTTAAGCTCAGTACCCGGGAGATAGAAATATGATGTACTTTTGCTCATTGAAAAGTCCACTTCCACGGTGAGTGTAAAACATTTTAAAAATGTCCAAGAGTACATGATGCGTCCATAGGATATATTTAAATGACCAAAACAAACTGAAAGGAAAGAATCTGATATATATGTTCGGTGGAAAATTTTGGTATCCAAGTTTCAAGTTGGTCGGCAGATTCTTACAAACACATCAAGTGGTTACCTGAATTTTTGACAGTTATCAGTACATTAAAAGATCAAAATTGTGTGATAGTTTATTTCACAAGATTTTGGAAAATAAATTTATAAAAGCTAAAGAGGTATAGGGATTATCAATTACAGTTGGATTAAATGTAAAACTAAAATTAGAAACTATGATTGACTCTAAAGGTCACCTTAGCAACAACTGGAACGACCAATGAGATTTCTTTATTTTATGAAAATTCGCCTTTCTAGATGGAATGAAGAGATACAACTGGTTATTTAAAACTTCGCTAGGATGACGTGTAAAGTCACTTGAAATCATAACAGGGAGTCAGTAACTATAGGATATTGGAACCATAAAATTCAAACAACTGCGGATCAAAGTGAAATAAAACCCTGGTTGAGACAGAAGAGCAAGTTAACTGAGTCATTACTAACCAGATTAACATAAATCCCATCTTTTTAGATGGCAGAGAAAGAATAAGAGAATGTTTGAGTTGTGTTTCGCACACAGAGCTCAGGTCTCATGGTTTTTATTGAAATAGGTTTAGAAGTTTGAAGAAGGCAAATTCTTACTCCTTTCGGGATTTGACCTGGTATCTTGTGGATTACTGAGAAGGTAGACCTAATTTCAATATTGTGACCAGTATCATTTAGATGGGAATCCATAGAGCTCTTAATCTTCTTTATCTCTCCATGTGCTGGTAAAAGTGGTAGATGTTCTTTAGTACGTTTCGAAAGGGTTTCGTAATTCATTTCAAGCGGCGTGAACATATGAGAAATCGTATATTTAAGATGTGGTGCGAAGATACACTAATTGCCGAACATAAGTTTCACATTGGTTGCAGGAAACGTCTTTTAATGAACATTGAAGTCTGCTTGCCGTAATCTAGGCTAGATTATCACCCTTTAACGTAATCAGCTGACTACTAAAATCAAAGTTGAGATTTCTTATTTATAGAAAGAAAGTAAGATTTGTCCGACATATTAAAATAAAAGAAGAAATTAAATCACAGACTAGGAGCAGTTGACAACAAGCAGCAAACTTCTTTATGTCTGAAGAGATAGCCTTTTTAGATTTCTTCCATTTTAAGTCATCACCATATTTCTCTTAAACGACCAAAAATTATTTAAACGGTGTAATGATTGAAGGTGAAATGAAAATCTGGGTCCTGACAGGATTCGAACCAGGTCACTACCCCGGTGCTTTACCATCTGAGCTATGAGACCCAGCTGCAAACCATATCTACACCTAGTATCAATAACACAAGTCTGGCAAAACACGGCTGTCTCAGGTAGTCAAACTGATAAAAATTATTTCCACAATGAAATGAATAAAAGAACCAGGATGAAATGAAGAACACTAAATAGATTCGAAGTTCCTAACATTGAGCTTCTCGCTGTGACACGGTTGATGAACTCGTTTATACCCCGTTTAATGATAGGCAGCTATGTGATAGTATATGTTGACCATTTCACCTACTTTGAGAGTTGCATCAGCCCTAACGGGCTGGTTTCTTACGAGACCTCAGCTAGGATAGAGAAGTCCCGTCTGACATTTTCCAAATTGCACCACCTGTGACGTCAACAGGCAAGATATCCAACTATTTGTCAAAGGAAGAATATACTGCACTTCAATCCGTCCTGCCCTGCTATACTGCTGAGACCTGGCAGTTAGAAGCAGAAGACATGAAGCGGTTACAGGGTTTTGGTCACAGGTATCTTCGCAGTGTTCCTCGAGTTTGACGGAATCAATGCGTGAGCAAGGTTGAGGTCAGGCAAAGGAAACTAGACAAGATAGGTAAGTCGATTGATGACGGGGTGAATTTTTATTCCGCTGACATGGCTTGGAAATGTACTGCACATACCGAGCTACCACCTACCTTGATGTGCCATGCTAGGGGAAGTTGAATTAGGTGAGAAGAGAGTTCAGGGTGGACACAGAAAGACGTCGTACTAGTCAATGAACTCCCAAACTGTTGGGCTGAACCGTGGTGAGATGTAGACTGCGTGTCTGGGATCGTCAAGACGATAGGAATCAGTGGTTGAGAACTGATTCTTGGTGACTTGGTTGAAAACTGGTCACAATGATGTAGACGTATTCTCTCCCTGACATCTAAAGTTTGAATATTTGCACTAACCGTTACCTTCAGATTGTTTATTCTCTCACTCAACTTTGTCTACTTCTGTATCACTCTTTTTCTATCCACCTGCTCTTAATATACTGCTGTGAAGTAGGGCAATTGGAACCCACCCACACGTGTGTGAGATTCAACGCTGATTTCGTCAGTCACGATTAAAACACCTAATTTCTGTATGAATGTCATCATTTAGTCAGCAAAACTCAGTCAGAATGATTGAAGTGTAATCATTCATTTACTTAACTGTTATACTTCCAGCAGTGATGAACACTTATTCTTAACGGTGCTACCAGGCTATCAGGTTAAAACGATGCCGAATAGTAATGAAGGAGTTCATTTAAGGATCGAACTGCCACAAATATGAACACATGTAACGATGAAAATAGAGATTTATTCTCCATAATAATTCGAACTTGCCAGTTTCATTCTGCCTAGTTTATTCTTGCTCTTTGTGCGATGTTGAAAATAATTTTATTATTTGTCATCAGTGATCCTCTATAATTTCTTAAATATAAAAGTAATGCGACCATCAAACTAATGGTTTGTGAAACACTGTGAAAAACGACTTACTGAAGACTAAGATGTTTGAAATATCATTCAGACAATATCTCATCACTAAAGTGCTTTCCCTACTTTTTCACTTGAGCAGCCAGCTTGTAGTTAATTATGTGCTTTTCTCCCGCTGTTATTCACCAGTCGACTGAACAGCAAAACATACTTGTAAGGTCTGTTGAGATTTGTTATTTTTATCTGATCACAATCACGTTTTGCGATTTTGTGTAAATATTTCAACTACTTATGAGTAGTAAGAAAAGAGTGGCCACATTCACGTGCCTACATAGTGGTGTAACAATCTGATTTTGCTCTTAGGCATGCAGTAATGTCTACAAACAAAAGTTTCATCACATCATTACTGATAATCAAGTCCTCCAGTCAGTACTTTACCACCCAAACAATGGATTTGGTCTTAATAACCGGGATTTCCCAACCTAAATAGATTTACAATAGTAGGATTATCTTCTTATTTTATTCAGGACTTCTTTAATCATCCATACCAGGTTAAATTCTAGCTGTCCTGGGTTAAACTTCATAAAGGTAGGCTTTGCATAGCAGTTATACTTAACCGAGTACTTAAAGCTATTAAATCTTTTCTGATTTTCCAATTTTCTGAAAGACTGTTATAGAAGAGGAACTGAAAAATTAGTTTTTCCTTCCCAAATTACTGAAACTTTTATTTTACAAAGTGAAACGGAGTTAAATAAGTTGATAGTGTATTTAGACGATTCACCAGATTTGAACACACTTGAAATGAGCTAGAATACTCTACTGTTATTTTTAAAACATCAACTTAATTTATGCTGCTTGTCATATATGCCTTCGTAAAACATTGTGTTATGACGATATTTCATGGTAATAGCTAATACCATTTTTTTTCAAATACATTGCTACATAGTACAGCATTAATAACCCCTGATTCCACATGCTTTGTTTTGTATCTAACAGATGTGCGGAGTATGCGAGCATGAACACGTTGGGAATCCGGTAATTTGTAATTTTAAAATTTTTCGAAACTCGAAACTTACTAACATATTATCGCACCCTAATTAGAGGTTCCTTAAATGCTTTGAAATATCATAGTGCACTGTGATGAACTGTAGAGTCCACTAATATTCCACTCAATATCATCCATCTCACGGATACATATTAAAAGGGATACAGTTCATGATAGAAATACAACTTCTACAGTACGACATGATAAATAAACCAGTATGTCAGCAGAAGAATCTTCAATACTAGGTGTCACAGACTGTCAAAATGACAGGAACTATCCAACGCGTTTAGTCATTTGTTCTATCTTCTGAACTAAAAACTTCACCAATGTTCACTTCCGTATTTCATTATCTAGACGATTTCATAAAAACGAACCGAAATTGGTGATTGTCTCTTACAGCTTTCTGCTAACAATCACTTGCCCTTGGCCAACGCTAACTGAAAGTATAAAAAGAGGCGTGATCTCACTTGGCATCTACTGAAGCCCGGCTAACAGTCGATGGAGATGATATCGCTATAAGCCATCGTTGAATAGGATCGCCAAAGAATCACCTCTCTTTTTGGCATAAAATATATCAACAAGATACAGGTTTCTGAACATGGATGCATTCCTACCATTATACGAGTGTGCCGCAACCACCACACGGGCAATGTCATGGTCTGGCTTAGGGTACTCGATAGAAAAGACTGGTCAGTTAATGATCCTGTGAGCCTTAACCCACTGCGAGTTCATACACTTGTATTGTGCATGTTGAGCCACTGTCTCTTCAATGGGTGATGTCAATTTAAGTATTATTGGACTAGAAGAGGCACAAAAGAGGCCAAACCAATGCATGACACAATTTCACGAAGTCCTTGACTACCAGTCTGAGCCATGTACAGAGATGTAAACTGCATGGCTGGGGTCTTTGTAGTGTTAGGAACAATCGTTTGGAGACTCTGTGTGACACAACTGAAAACCAGCCAGAATGGTGCAGATGTATACAGTCTTCCTCCCCTCTGAAATCTGAAGAGTCTTTATCAATCATCATCTATTTATCCCCTTAACTCTAATAAACGTTTGCCCACCTTAATCTCTCTCTCTAGGCTCTCCTTCCTTGCTTACTACCGTTAAATGTGGCAACTTGAACTAATGCAGTTCTGTGGCTGGCTTACGCTGCTTTTTAAGATGTCCTTCAATTCAGTTTCTGTTCTGGGTGTTGAACTTGAACTGTGGTCTATCACCAGCTTCTGTGAAGGCTTCCAACTTGATTTGGAGGGTTTGTTCACCAGACAGTGAGTGGTGTGAACCCACATCTGCTCCTCTTCTTGATCATGTGTCAAGTAGACTGCGTCTCCACTTTCTTGAGATTGAGATAAAGTTGACCTGATTTTTAGTGTGTCCTGGTGTCTGGTGAAATCCATGTCGCTGCTTTGTGAATATCCTTGTATTTGTATACACTGCCTCCAATCACCGAAACGTTGAATTCAAAGAATTCTGCAAACAACTCTCCATTCTCGTTCATTTCACCGAGTGCTTCTTGACCCATGATTAGTTCTCTTCCTGTGTTGTCCGCTCCCAGTTTGGCATTCATGTCACCCCACCCACTGGAATTTTGATGTCGTCAACTGAGGTCTTGTCCAGTGTTGATTGAAGTTGTATGTAAAATTCCTCCTTCTTCTCTGCATTATTTGTAGGGGCTTAGCGTAGCAGTGAATGATTGTGACTTTCCTTCCTTTTGAGTTGAACTTTGCTGTTATGATCCTGGAGGAGATCGGTTCTTACTGTATGAGGGCCTTCGATGCTCTTGACAACATCACGATAGTCACTCCCTCAGTATGCTCGTGGTTTTCGTCTGGATGACAATATTGGAGTAGATTATTGACTCTTCTGTTGACAGTTTGGAGAGTCCACTTCCATTCTATCTGCTTTAACAGATTCCCAGCCTTGCATTTCAATGCCATATGTTCTCATCATTTCTGTAATTCGCGCAGCCTTGGCAGTCAGATTCAAACATTGTGCGGACATTCCATGTCCCCATCCTTACTTTCGCTTTCACCGAGAGAAGACACATCGGCCAATTGGCTTCCCGAAGGGAGGCTTTCATTCACCGGTGTCATTTCGTCTCTCCGATTCCAGTGAGGAATAAGTTTATTTTTTATATTTTGTTTGTGCTTTGGAGTTTCTGCAGCAGTTGGATTGGCTTTACGGGGTAGGGTTGCTAGCCCTATGCCCAATCTTCCATCTTTATCCGGGCTTAGGACCGGCTAGTAACTAGTGAACTAGTAAACTAGGTGAGGTTGTATCACCGTGTGCTCTGTATCTAATATGAAATGGCATTTAAACGTATCGCCCAAGTTTTCCACTTATATTAATGGAAATTTAGCCGACTTAACAGTGATATAATATGTTAGCTGGACGGAGGCAATCGACAGGAAGCCCTGCTTGACCTACGTTCGTCAGCAAGGCGTATCTATAACCTCAGAGGAACTGATGTCCCATCTAGGGTTCGAACCCGCGTCATCCAGTGTTGCAGTGAACCAAGCTACCACTGACCTATCTGGGCCACGACTGATCTCCTTAAGGATAGGGTTAGGTACATTGATCGGTTAGTCGATGTAGTCTAGTCCTAAGAGCTAATCGAATTCTGACTATCATTTTGCAATGTGGCCATCAGGCTAGGAGGCTCATCACAGTGTTGGACTGTGATAAATCATCAGGAGGCCCTGGACCCAGGTGTCATGCTTTTTGGCATTTGTCATCAAGGCGTATCTGCGTATCTATAAGGTTTAAATTGGCTCTTCAGATAATTGGTAAGATGATAAATCCGTTTAAATAAGTAAATCCTGCCAAACAACTGAAATAATTGATATCTTTATTTTCAAGTTAACACACTATTCTGATTCATTAAAATACGCCTTCAAATCAAATCTAAGAATCTCCTTCACAGACATAGATTACAACAAGTTGAATAGTTAATTTGGACCTAGTTCTGAGTTTACCCTCTCTCTCTCTCTCTCCCTCTCTCTTCTACTGTTTCACTCAATCACTAAAATTAACTAACCTATATACAAATAACTCAATAATTTTAACTAATCAATCTTATTTATTAGAAATAAATCAATGGAGCTGATCTAACTTTTGCTGGTAGCATGAAATAAAATTTAATCAATGTACCCCAGAAGTAAAGTTTTTCCATTGTCTCATTACAGTGTTTTTACTATATGTATGATCATATTTCATTTCTACAGTATTTAACACTGAGTCAAGGATGCACTTTACTTAATACATTTAGAAGTCAAAGTTACCATGTATCCCTAATTTCGATTGAATGTTCGTGAAATGCAAGCTGAAAAAGCATCTCACTTAAAAATCCAAATACTGTTCACTATGTAGGGATGATCAATTGAGATAGTAATTCTCACATTTACACACACATACACACACACTGACATCTTTTATTATTGTTGTTTATTTCAGCACCGGATTTTTCCACTGTCCAATTCGACTGTCTCATATAATCTTCAGCATAAAAACAATGAATCACAATTAATTGCTTTGAATTGTTATCCAGAGAATTCAATAGTTTCATATGAATCAACGTGTACAGAACACCAAGTAATGCTAAATATGGCAAAAGAAAGAAATCGTAAACTATCAATAGAACTCAATGAACTTGGTACAGAGATAAAACATTTATCTAATCGACCAGAAAGGCAACTGTATGACTTTCTAAAACGGTTGTAAGTGACTCCAACAGATTAATTGATGTCTGGTTTGATGTTAATGCATTTTTCTACAATGGCTTTCTTTCACAAACATTTCAAGTGAAGTGGAAACATACTACTTTCTCTCTACTTTGAGCTTTCCTACTCGTTTATTTAAACAGTTTTTTCATATCCAGCAGTTTGACTTATTCAATGCTATACTGTAGTCTATTTGATAGCTAGCAATGAAATCTATGATGCTCATTTCACCCTGTTTCGGATCGACTCGTCAGCTGGATATACATGTATCCCAATGAGTGATATTTTTCCCATTGAAACTCGAACCTAGTACCTATTGCGTCCTGCATTCTACTGGCAGCCAGAAAATAGACTGCAATACAATGAATATCAATGCAGTGTTGAGGCATCCGAATAAGAGTCCATCTGCCAACAGAGATCAAATAGTTCAACCCAGTGTAGGGACGACAAACTTCAAGTATTAATAAACAACTATTCGGCGCTGTTTTAAAGTATATTGTGTGGTATCATACGGAAACCCTAAAACTTATTTGCTATTTTCACCTTTAAATCAACAAGAGTGTCTTCACCAGATAAAACTACTCTACAACAGCGCTAACATGTTTCATGTTTTTGAATACTCTTTATTTAGGTTGCAGTAGTAGTATTTCAGTCAACCGAGAAGCAGTACAAAGAATGATTAATTCCAAAGGTACACGCCAATCAACCGCCTACCTTGATGTGCCATTCTAGAGGAAGCTTGATTAGGTGGGAAGAAGGCTCAGGGTGGCTAGACCAAGAAGTTGCACTGATCAATGGAGTCTCTTACTGTTGGTGTGAGCTTACGGGGGCGTTGTAGACTGCCTGGCTGCGATCCACACGCCTAAAGGTTGGGAAGTGACTCGTGGTGACATGGCTGAAAAGTGGTTACAATGGCGCAGATGCATTTACTCCTTGACATCTAAAGTTTGAATATTTGCACTAACCGTTATCTTCAGATTGTTTATTCTTTCACACCGCTTTGTCTACTTCTGTATCACTCTTTTTCTGTCCACCTGTTCTGTTATACCACTGTGCAGTGTCACAACTTGAGATAATACACCCGCGAGAGGTTCGAAGTTTATTTTGTCGGTCATTTAGTCAGCCATTAAGGCAATGATTGGAATAGTCAATAAGGCCTCTCAATGATTATTTATTGTCACTATTTAGAACATAAGCTTGGTAAGACATACGTACGAAGAGATACGCCGTAGAAATTGATATAGCAACATTAGGAAAGTACAAAAAAGAAAAGGAAGCAGAAATGGAATACTAAACGGGTTACCTGGGCTGCACTCGCAAACACACACGAAGAAGCACTTACTGCTTTAGCTATACTGCACGATGATGCTAGAAGCAATAAACCGCAGCATGATCTTCACTAGTTTCAATTCTGGACCATGTCTTTTATCGTCCAAAGCCTCTGACCTCTCAGACTACATCCAGGAAGTTATGAGGCACCTACACAAGGTAATACAAGACTACTATTTTCCGTCACGCAGCGCCACGTCATACACTGACCACCTCCTCAGTCCTTACAACCAACCTTCAGAAAAGAGGACCGGTGTAGCATTCTAAGGCCACTAGAATCTGTCTCTCAAGGTGCTCATACTCAAAAGTGCTTCGCCTCTCTTCAGAATTAACTATATGGTGTTTTCATAGTATACAAACAATCCCACAGTTACCAAACACTACCAGACCACGGAGATCAAGTTTTACAGGTGTAAAGCAGAACTGCGAATGTCAATACGTTGCATGCTTAACTTTTTAAAGAAAGACTAACGTCAGAATAGCACCGAAGGTTATGTAGATTGAAATAAATGGCCCTGATTTTCGGTATACTGTTGAATATCTTATCAGTCTCACCTCTAGTAAAAATTACACAGCTATCCAAGCACATAAACTTATCAAAAACTTCCACCGAATAATCACGAAGGGTCTGTGCAGGTACAGACTCCTACCAATCTTGAAGAAGCATTTTGCACTTCAATGTTGCAAAGTATATACCATGTTTACAGAATTTGATCGCTAACTGACTGACTGGGATTTGAGTAACCTGAAGTCACCATTCCAAACAACAGAACCGAAAATTACTCCTTAAAAATAGTTTTGAAAAAGGTAAGACGGGGGAAGCAAACATAATAAGCAGTAAGAGTAAAAAAGCTTTCTTGAGGGAAAATTGTCTTTCATTACATTTGACCTGAAATAAATGCAGCTTCCAACAACTACATTTCTACCGTGCATCATCACACGATTTTTGACGTCCGGGTACAAACTTTTAAATATTATTCTTCAAAAAAGATCTGCAACTTCATCTTATATCTTTCATATGTTTCCCCCTGCGATGCTGCAGTACATAAGCACCTCTATGAGACTGCCATCTACCTGACTCCTCCAGTCTCCTGATGAGATTAGACTTTATAACGCACGCCTTAAAACAATTAACAAGTTCATCCTCCCCCTACTGGGCAGACATACCAGTCGTAACGTAATAGAAGTCAGAAAGTTGAAACTGTACATGTTTATCCGATTCTATTTACCATTTAGTCAGTGATTATTTTATTACAGTTTATGCGATTACTGATCTCTAACTGACTGTGGATGGTAAAAAGTATGTACTACAGTAGAAGATCCCCATTAAAATTGCATAGTTTATAAGTGGAGGGGGAGTATAACGTTAAGAATGTTTCCACACTATATTTATTGACCTGAGGTCTTATTCAAGTCATCTTATGCAAATTATACCGGGAAAAAGACAATAACTCAATCAATATGACTTGACTTCTCCAATGAATTTCATCCAGAAACTGAATAATTTTATAAAAGTAAATGAGAAAATCTAGGTCATACTAAAGTGATATCTGTTGTTAAAAAGAAGAGTATGAATAAAGAAACATTTATCTCTACTCTTCATAAGTTTAATTAATACCTGATGCTTTTTCGTACTGTTATCATACAATGTAAAGTATCCATGCTAAATTGCTATGAAATATCACCGTACGAATTTGATTTAATCTGATTAAACTTCTGTGGTAGAAATAATGTAGTGGTCAGTGATGATTTGTTAAATAATATTATATTGAAAGTAAGGTGACAAATACAACTGTGGCAAGATAATAAACGCCAACAAGAGCTGACAAAATGTCAGATTTTTAAATGAACATCTCGACTATGTAATACAAACAGATGGAATTATGTAAAGTTGATGAATGATAGCAGAATGTTTTGCCTAAATATCTGGTTATGATACTTTTCACGATACAGGAGTAAAGAAGCGAGTTTGATAAGACAGGAGAGTTTTTCTTGAAAACTAACTAAATTTATATAAGTGAAAAACTTGGGCACTGTGGTAAAATGTAGTTCCATATTAGATTTGTTTATTTGATATAAAGCGCACAGTGATACAGTATTATTTACTTGATTACGTTTCGAGCATAAATTATTGCTCATAATCATATCAATGTAATCACACTTCTTTCGACATCTGATTTTATAGTCCTGTCACCTGATCTCTCTTTGTTTTTTGTTTTTTGATTGGTAGTAAAGTTTTCCATATCTCTGGTATAGGTGTTGCGTCATTCCTATTACATGTGTTGGGTGTGGATTCGATGAACAAAGATTCAGTAATTAATCTCTCTCTCCACCTAGCTATATTAGACTTAAGTACAGTGGTTTTGTCCCATCCTATTGTGTGGTTGTGTGTTAATGAATGTAATGCAATGGCTGAGTGTTTTTCTAGGTTATTGATCTTATTGGGGTCTGTCGTTCTATGTTTAGCTAAATTCCTATGTTCTGTTAATCTAACTGACCCCGACCGGCTAGTTTGACCTATGTATTTGACTTCACAGTCATTACATGGAATTTGGTAGATTATATTATTTTGCTTAATTGGTTCTATCGGATCTTTTAGCCGACAAAGCTTACCTCTAAGTGAGTTTGTTGGTTTAAATGCCACCCTAATTCCAACCTTGTTGAGAATCCTACGTATGGTTTCTGATGTTCCTTCCTTGTATGGTATCACAATAGAGGTGCTGATTTCCTTTCTACTTATGTTGTCACTATTATTTGTATTTGTATTAGTGTTATTATTTTGCTTCTTATGCGTCCGTGTGAATTTCTTAATAAAATGATGGGGATAATTATTAGTTATTAACGCTTCTTTTATGTGTTTCAATTCCTTATTTAAGTCCTTACAATGACTAGTGAGTTTCTCAGCTCTGTTATTTAGACATTTGACTAAACCCGCTTTAACTGACACTGGATGAGATGACTTGAAGTCTAGATACCTGTTAGAATGTGTTGGTTTTCTGTAGACGGTAGTATCTAAACCACCATCTATCCTTCGTTTTATTCTGCAATCCAACATAGGTAATTCTCCTTGTTCATTTTCTACTTCGTAGGTGAATTGGATTGCGTTAACTACTGAGTTTATGTGTGTCAAGAAACTGTCGATATGTTCCGATTTCAACACTGTAAATGTGTCATCTACATATCGCCACCATATCTTAGGTGTCGGATTATATGTTCGTAAAGCCATATCTTCCCAACTATCCATAAATATATCTGCTACTATAGGGGATATTGGTGATCCCATTGCTACTCCTTCTGTTTGTCTGTATATCTTTCCCTGAAACTTGAAGACTGTCGAGGTTAAGCATAACTGCACTCCTAACATGATTTCACCAACCGATGCCTTGGTTCTTTGAGTAAGTTGTGAGTCAGTATCTAGTTGATTTCTGACTGCCTCCAGTGCCATATTGATTGGTATTTTAGTATAAAGACTTGTTACGTCAAAACTAACCATTTTTTCATCCTCTTCTATGTGCAGGTCATTAAGTTTTTGTTTCAACTCGTAAGAATTTACTAGTCTAGAGTTGGAACGGTCTCTAACAGGACGTAATACTGATGCTAAATACTTTGATATCTCATATGTTGGTGTGTTTCGGAAGTCAACTATCGGCCTAATGGGATAACCTGCTTTATGAACCTTAATAGTACCGTAAATTCTGCTAGGATTATTAGTTTTTGGCATTAAAGTAAACCATTCGGACTTACCTAGAGATGGCTTCAGTCGGCGTATCAGATCTGTTGTAGATTTCTTAATTTTATTCATGACAGTATCTATAGGTTTCTTAATCTCTTCATATGGCCCTGTTTGGATATGTTCATCCATTTTTTTAAGATAATCCGATTTGTCCATAACTACTGTTGAGTTACCTTTGTCAGATTTAGCAATTACTATACTATTATCCTTTCGTAGATTGTTTAAAGCTGAATTTTCCAGTTTCGTTAAGTTTCGCTGTGTCTTCTTTTGTTTTTTAAGTGCTAATGCACACTGCGCTCTAACCTGTTCAGCAGTTGTCACATCCACCGAGCTTAATGCAGTATATATTGGGATTCGTATGCGAAGGTATTTAGGGATAATTTGATTTTTCATGCAACGAATATTGAAAATACGATGATTTGTGAAACGTGCTTCAGTTTGTGAAAGTCGTGTGAGTTTATTGATTAGCCTTCGAACAGGAAGACCATAAGTTTCATTAATATAAGTGAAAAACTTGGGCACTGTGGTAGAATGTAGTTCCATATTAGATTTGTTTATTTGATATAAAGCGCACAGTGATACAGTATTATTTACTTGATTACGTTTCGAGCATAAATTATTGCTCATAATCATATCAATATATACTGACAAAATCCAAAGGGCAATAGAACATGTCAGCAAACTATGTCTGAAAGAAGAAATTCACAGGATTATTAAGAAATTAAGTACCATTCGGAATAAAATTGAACAACTTAAATGTAAAATTATGAAGATAGTAAACTGCAGAGACTATGGATTTATAATAGAAACATCAGACAAAGCAAGATTAGCTACTCTCAAGAAATCTAGAAGAAATCAAATCAAAAAGTTCAATAAACTAATGCAAGAAAAATATGCTTCGGAAAACAATGAAATTACAAAGGAAACATCATCGAACATCGATAGAACAAAGTGGGTAGTCAATCTCTCCTCGAAAGCCTTAAGCTCAGCTGAGATGAAAGTACTTGAAAAAGGACTAAACTTCAACATAACAGTAGATCATCTAAAACCAGAAGATGTCATACCTAGCATAGAAGTAGCATTAAGCTCGGTGGATGTGACAACTGCTGAACAGGTTAGAGCGCAGTGTGCATTAGCACTTAAAAAACAAAAGAAGACACAGCGAAACTTAACGAAACTGGAAAATTCAGCTTTAAACAATCTACGAAAGGATAATAGTATAGTAATTGCTAAATCTGACAAAGGTAACTCAACAGTAGTTATGGACAAATCGGATTATCTTAAAAAAATGGATGAACATATCCAAACAGGGCCATATGAAGAGATTAAGAAACCTATAGATACTGTCATGAATAAAATTAAGAAATCTACAACAGATCTGATACGCCGACTGAAGCCATCTCTAGGTAAGTCCGAATGGTTTACTTTAATGCCAAAAACTAATAATCCTAGCAGAATTTACGGTACTATTAAGGTTCATAAAGCAGGTTATCCCATTAGGCCGATAGTTGACTTCCGAAACACACCAACATATGAGATATCAAAGTATTTAGCATCAGTATTACGTCCTGTTAGAGACCGTTCCAACTCTAGACTAGTAAATTCTTACGAGTTGAAACAAAAACTTAATGACCTGCACATAGAAGAGGATGAAAAAATGGTTAGTTTTGACGTAACAAGTCTTTATACTAAAATACCAATCAATATGGCACTGGAGGCAGTCAGAAATCAACTAGATACTGACTCACAACTTACTCAAAGAACCAAGGCATCGGTTGGTGAAATCATGTTAGGAGTGCAGTTATGCTTAACCTCGACAGTCTTCAAGTTTCAGGGAAAGATATACAGACAAACAGAAGGAGTAGCAATGGGATCACCAATATCCCCTATAGTAGCAGATATATTTATGGATAGTTGGGAAGATATGGCTTTACGAACATATAATCCGACACCTAAGATATGGTGGCGATATGTAGATGACACATTTACAGTGTTGAAATCGGAACATATCGACAGTTTCTTGACACACATAAACTCAGTAGTTAACGCAATCCAATTCACCTACGAAGTAGAAAATGAACAAGGAGAATTACCTATGTTGGATTGCAGAATAAAACGAAGGATAGATGGTGGTTTAGATACTACCGTCTACAGAAAACCAACACATTCTAACAGGTATCTAGACTTCAAGTCATCTCATCCAGTGTCAGTTAAAGCGGGTTTAGTCAAATGTCTAAATAACAGAGCTGAGAAACTCACTAGTCATTGTAAGGACTTAAATAAGGAATTGAAACACATAAAAGAAGCGTTAATAACTAATAATTATCCCCATCATTTTATTAAGAAATTCACACGGACGCATAAGAAGCAAAATAATAACACTAATACAAATACAAATAATAGTGACAACATAAGTAGAAAGGAAATCAGCACCTCTATTGTGATACCATACAAGGAAGGAACATCAGAAACCATACGTAGGATTCTCAACAAGGTTGGAATTAGGGTGGCATTTAAACCAACAAACTCACTTAGAGGTAAGCTTTGTCGGCTAAAAGATCCGATAGAACCAATTAAGCAAAATAATATAATCTACCAAATTCCATGTAATGACTGTGAAGTCAAATACATAGGTCAAACTAGCCGGTCGGGGTCAGTTAGATTAACAGAACATAGGAATTTAGCTAAACATAGAACGACAGACCCCAATAAGATCAATAACCTAGAAAAACACTCAGCCATTGCATTACATTCATTAACACACAACCACACAATAGGATGGGACAAAACCACTGTACTTAAGTCTAATATAGCTAGGTGGAGAGAGAGATTAATTACTGAATCTTTGTTCATCGAATCCACACCCAACACATGTAATAGGAATGACGCAACACCTATACCAGAGATATGGAAAACTTTACTACCAATCAAAAAACAAAAAAACAAAGAGAGATCAGGTGACAGGACTATAAAATCAGATGTCGAAAGAAGTGTGATTACATTGATATGATTATGAGCAATAATTTATGCTCGAAACGTAATCAAGTAAATAATACTGTATCACTGTGCGCTTTATATCAAATAAACAAATCTAATATGGAACTAACTAAATTTATTTAAACAAAATAGTAGATTTGACCAAGTATTGTGATAGATATTGGGTTCCGAGTAAAAGGTTGTAATTAGTCATAGTTTGCATCTGTATAGGTCGTAGAGTGTTTGAAATGAAATCATTCCAACGTCTCGCATGGAAGTCTGGTCTGATCTTCATTTCTCAGAAGTGTCTTGGCACGTTCATCTAATGAATCGTAAAATTGGACGAAACACGCATTTTTGGCTCCACTGCCAGCCACCATCAGTCAAATCATATCATAAAATTTAATTGTGTTACCATTTCTTTCTGTTTTCGATGATTCAAATAACCATCAACAATGTAACTAAAAGGTTGCAGTTCATTACTCCACCCTTCTTTGGACATATCATGTTGCATTATTTTTTGACCAACCTCAGTTTGCATACAATGTGACAGAAGCTTTTACAGATAAGGCTTTTCCCGTTCATGCGTCTTCTTGGAACATGATCTTACCAAAAGCCCCATAAGTTGTCCGACTGTTAAGGTATTGAAACACTAAAGACAACTATTTTCCTGTCTGCTAGTGTTATTTGATGAGCAGTTTGTATACCATAGTAGAATCCTTATGTTCTGCAGCTCTGTATGTACTTATAAAACTCTCCTTGAAGATGTTAAGTGACTAGATGATTCGAAATAGAGATGAAAGATAGAAATTCGTTACTCACATAATCCTCAAATATCTATCAAAATAGAGTTCTTACCATTCTTTCGGTTTTCAAGGCATCTTAGGTCTGTTTCATTAAAGCTCTAAATTTTACACTAAACCAGTGTATCCAGAATAAACACTTATATAAAATAAATCTTGTTATACATATAAGAATTAGTGCTATGGAACCTCGTCTTTTTTATCAAACATTCTTGAAAGTATTTTTTTAAAGAATCCCGCGAAGTTTTTTTATTTTCTAATCTTTTTCATTTCGTTATCTTTAGGGATTTATGTAAAAGCACCAATGATAGACTTCATCAGACAATTCAAAATCTAGAAGAACAAATTACAAAGACTCACAAAGATTTAGAAGAGGCTAAAGTAAGCTGGAGACAGAATTTTGTTTCTTCTTAAATATCTCATTATTGATTCTTATTTGAGCCAAATAGTAGATGATTGTATAGAAATTGAAATGATCTTTGTTGAGTGGAATTTAGGATAAATGAAAGTGACAAAGTACAGTGATGATGATGATGATGATGATGATGATGATGATGATGATAAGAAGGAGGAGGATTTAAGGAGAATAAGCCACTGAGCTTTAATTAATCTTTCCTCTTAATAGTGCTTTCTTTCAATCAATTTTTTTCTGTCTGTCTACTATGAAAACATGCAATAATCGTGCTGAAATATAATTTACTGAAGTCTGAAAAGTTTAATTCAACAAACGAAGTTAGAGAATATTCAAGGATGAATCAATGAAAAGTGGACACATAGCAGCCAGTCTAGGAAACAATGTTAGCATGTCTTCAGAAAAAGAAATATCTTAAGTGAGTGATAAGGAAAAACAGAGTGAAAAAAGTGCTGCAAAACAAAGGGTTATCTTTTCTACAAAATCATTTTCGCCTTTTTTATCTGATAAATACCAACCTATAAAAAATAGGATTCACATTCACATATTCTTCTTTAGGAATATAAGAAGAGAAAGAAATCTAAATTAAGAAACATCAGATAAATTCACTTCATCTTTCTGACTTCTCATCGGCTGACTGAGTCTTCTCACACTTTAATGTTTCGTACTGGAAAATCCCAACATACTTTATGGCAGTGAAACGAAGTGAGCTGACGAGAAACAGTATAGTGTAGTAACTGAATTTTCTTTTCTTCATTTTCATCTCCACTGCCCTTTTACTTGATGTACTGATATGAGTTTTGGCAACTCGTACCATTACGTGATAATGCCTGGTCCTATATTTATTTGGATGGATGGATGGATGGAGTGTAGTAAAAAAGCTATGGTGAATCAAGTCACATTTACTAGGTCTCCTAAAACGTCAAACTTGAGTATCGTATTCAACCGTTAATTCGATAAAATTAAAACAAATACTAAAATCTTTCAATGTATAGAATAAAAAATCACTCCTGAAAGTAAAGTGATACATGAGTTGGCTATGTGCCCCAGTGCCCTGTGGACTACGCCTTGGGGTTTGAAGTGGTAGGTACTGGGCTCGAGCCTCAGTAGGAACAACATCATTCACTAGGGTGCAGGTACGTTAAACTGACTAGTCTGAAATAGAATGATTTGCGCATCCTGGAATCCACTGCTAGTCACCAAAGTGAATATAACATCATGAATATCAGGCACTATCGAGGTATCTGGATAGGAGTCCATCTGCCAACAAAGGTTGAGCAATTCAGCTATGTACGGTGATGAGAAAAGTCAAGTATCAAAACAATTTGTTGAACTACATTGAAAAAATGCATCACTATGCGGTAGGTTGAATGAGGAAACAAGGAACTAGACATTCAAATTAAGGAAAGATTGATTGCTGCTTCTTTTCAGTGAGTAAATCTACCTTCAAACTCTTGATAACTGTGGTCTCAGAAAGTCTTGGATTTACATTCTCCTTTGTACCTTAATTTAAAAGGTTTCAAGTTATCCCTTACCAACTGCATCACGGAAAATACTGGTTACACTAGAAAGTTAACTTTTTGACTAATTGTTAACAAATTTAAGATATCATTTGTTTCCTTAGATCTGTGCACGCTTACCATCAATTGATTTTATTTCCTTGCATAAAAACATGTTAAATTGTTGTGCACTTGGGTCAACAAATGTAGATAGGCGCTAAATTGCACTAGCCTAACCCTAGCCTATTTATAAACTGACTTACAAGAGACAACTCAGAGAGGAAATGTCTTTCCACGAAATATTTTCGTAGGCTATACATTCGTAATAATATTTACTACGAAAATGTCTGTCCATCAGTGACTAGTGGGTTAACCCTGACAAAGAACCGCATACTAGGATGAAACAGCTCTCCAATGCTTCCAGGTTTTCAGTGGTTCAACAACTGATGTCAATTCATGATGAATGCCACCCTGAATTATCAAAAATTGTTTAAATGACTACAAGAGGCAGGAAAAGGTAATTAATGGGGATTGGGCAGTGATCAATTAAGTGATGGGACAGATAAGTGGAATAATTATAGCGAAACTAACAACTACAAATGGAAAAAAGCGGATGAAAACAGTATTGTTGCTGTATAAAATAACTAAATAAACAAATAAAATTCGGAAAATGTTCTAAGAAAATTATGACCAAGATGAAATTAGAGGTTGAACGTACCTCTTTTAAGCGTAGAGATCAAGGTTGAACTTCTGAAATGTCAAGGTTTCTGCCCCGTTTAAATGGAAAGTCCACAATCCCTCCGAAACGTTTGATATGACTATAAATGACTGTGAAGGAAAATTCTGATTTGCTGGAGTCAGCAGAGTTCATCAGATACTCAAAAATCAAGCTGTTAATTGCTTTTCACCCTTTTCTAGATAGCCATACGGTGTAGTGTTTTGGGAAATTCGTTCAGACAGCACACGCCTTGCACGACCTACGTAACTACCTCCACAAGAGCACATCAATAGGTAGATGAAAATGGAAGTGACTTAATGCGGTAGTCTGTCCTTCACACATCCTTTAATCAGTTATTGACTGAAGAAAACAAATCGAAGTTGGGCGAAAAAGGTCTTCCTCAGTCCTTTACACGATCGATTGTTGAGTATCTCTGCAATTCTATCTCTTTTAAACCCGATATTTGTAGTGTCTTCTTTGAAACTTTGCGGACTAGTTCTTGGGTATTGTTTAGGCCTACTGTTCCTTTCAATGAATCTTGCATTATATGGAGGTATTCACATGTAAAATTCTGGGTTTAAAGGTAATTCTACATGTCTACACAGATTATTGTCAGCAGCTTTTCAAAGGAAATCACAAGTCATTAGCATAAAGCCTTCTCTGATTTGATCTATAAATTTTGGTCCTGCTACCATTTCCGAAGATGACTGTTCGGAAGAATATTTTTCAGACTCTTTAAGAGGTTTAGAAATATTAGAAATTTATCTTTTTTACCTCTTTAAGATTTTATAAATACATGCAGTCAACATATCTTGCTCTAGAGTAGTAAATAAATTGACAGAAATATATTGAAAAAGCTGTAAGCGTTAGTTCATTCCTTGTGGTGTAGAAATTGAGTTGAAGTTCAAATGAAAACAGATTTTCTCATTGAATGGGATAATAGATTTCTTGATATTCCCATCTTTGAGCTTCCATTGAACTATAGATTCAAAAAAAGCAACATTTTCCTAACCGTAAGTGTATTCGTTTCCTTTATTCACAGCTTTGTAGTTTTTATAATAAAACACCTAATCATCTCTTTCCAATCACAGAGTACGTTAAGAATATTTATCTCCTCACTAATTGTATCAGGACAGTAAATATTCATGATTCTATAACACAAGTAATGGAACAGATTTTGTTTTCTCTTAAGAATTATCCAACTGTAAAAGTTCACGAACTGTTAGTTGATTGGAGGCAATTGGCAGGAAGCCCTGGACCTAGGTTTCGTGCTTTTTGGCACTCGTCAGTAAGGCGTATCTGCAACCTCGATGGAACTAATGTCCCGCCTGAGATTTAAACCCGCATCACCCAGTGTTGTAGTCAGCGACTTTACCACTGAGCCATTCGGGCTGCGATCCACCTCCTGTAGGACTGGCTTACATGTATTGATTGGTCACGGGAGTGCAATCAATTTCATGTTGTGTAATCCTGAGTGCAGACCGAATTCTACCAATCATATTTGAAATGTGGCAACCAAGCTAGGAAGCTCAGCATCGCGGTGCACATTAATAGGTATTAGTTGGTTTGAGGCAATCAGCAGGAAGCCCTGGCCCTAGGTTTCGTGCTATTTCCGCGTGTTTCTCGGAGATAAATCTTTTGAATGTTCAATGTTGTTAGTTGTACATTGAAACAGGATATTTTTTTTATTCTAATTACTTCCGAAATGTGAACTTGATTTCCGGTTGATAGTTGTTGAAAAGATGTAGGATGCCTTCTAAATTATCTAAATTATTAGAAATGATAAAGATATCAAAGTGACCGATCATTTTACTCAAGTGTATCCGTGTGTATGTCCAAGTTTTGATACAAAAAAGTCTGCTAGCACATGACTTTTGCATCCTTTTGCTTGTATATTCCACTACTGAAAGAGAAGTGAACATTGAAAGTGCATCTCAGCAGCAGTTCTATTAGACATGAAGGTATCCTGGCCAACAATGGACTGGATGGTTGGAAAAAACAGACAGAAGTTCTGCAAAAGGGTTTTCTCTCTCACAAAGAGCGGACCATTACAGAAGCTTTGCACATCTGCTCATATCCTTCTTCGGTCAACAGAAAAGATGGGTTAGACATCCCACTAATATGGCAAACATTAATGACTCGCCTAGGCAGTTATAAATAATATCTGAAGAGAAGGTAGATTGTCTAGTCCTATTACATACACCTTATTGATCTACTATTTTCATCAATTTTACACTACTCTCTGAGTCATATACATTCGATGAACCATAACATAATCCATTTTGTTATCACTCATTATTATTATTTATTAAGATATATCTCATCTTCAAATATTCATCCTTCCAAACTAGTAATCTATTCTTTCTCACCCTTGATGTCTCACAACCCCATTGTACTTTTCATAGACGATCTATCAAATTTCCCTACACTATTTTTGTTCCACCTTACTCGCACAACGGAAAAACCTCTCTGACCGAGTCGCTTATTTACTCACCTGTATTATATCACTATGTAATTGGATGATTGTAAAGGTCACCACTTTCTGTACCAAAACTTGAATATTAACCTGAAAACTTAATGTCAGATTCATACTCTTGAAAAGGATCTTCCTAGCAAGATCGAAACGTTGAGGAATAATACAAAATATTTGTTTATTTTGTTATTTGTTCTAACATACTACGCCGGGATTACACAAGTAAAAATACATCTTATACAATGAGTTCTATCAGACAGCTAAAAGATGTTCTCATATGTAATCATTTAGAATCAATATATTCGCTTAAATAATATACACAATCACTTTTAATAGCTTCATTTATGTTTTGCATTGTATGTACAATTAAAAATCAAAAATTCTACAATGATATAACCCAAAAGTTTATCATATTTTATGAGGGTAGGGAGTAGGGAGGACTAATAGATCCATGCAAGTAAGGGCCTCGGAACATATTCCATAGTGGCTTCAGAAGCAAATTAAATCACCTGAACCTATAAATGTTGGTAGCAGACGTCCAAGTTCTTCGATCGCCAAACATATCGTTGAGACAGGTAACAAGATTGATGTGGCTACTTCCTTTACACCTATTTACAAAACATGTTGGGGAGGGATCCTGAAATTTGTTGAAGCCTTAGCTATTAGGAAGTTGAAACCACCTTTATGTGTTCATAAACAATTTGTTGTCACACTAAACCTTCCTTGGTAAATTCAACTATTGAAAAACCAAGTTCGATGTACTATTATTTTTTCGCTCTATTGATTTTCATTGTGATTCGGCCTTTAAGTCAGCCTTCCTACCTGACCCCTTTTTATTTTCTCACCCCTTATCTTCATGAGTTTTTATATAAATACCTATGACAAGTACGAGTGTGATCAGATAGCTCGAAATGTGTTGTGCGAATACATTACACGGTTCAGACAATTTACTTCTTCTTATTGTTTTGTCGAAGGGTAGCATAATTCAAAAGAAGACTTAATTTACCAGTAACTTCATAGAACTGATACATAGTACTGAAGATTTTCTTAATGAACGGGATAGAAATCAGATATTTTTACTCATCAAAATTTATTTAACCTTTCTTTATTCCTTATTTAAATTTAATGTGCTAAAAGCAAAACTCATTTGTTATTCAAAATCATCATAATCGTTCAAATGACATTCGTAAAATCCATCTAAACTGTTTAATCTTCAAAAATGAAAATCATGTAGGGTTAGCATATGTGAACTTACTTGCTAAGTAGTTTTGAGCTCAAGTATAAACCTAACTGAAACTTTGTTTATTTTTTTCAAATAACCATTTTTATTACTTATGTTACAATTCAACAGTGTTAATTAAATGACCCGAAATATTTGTTACAATCAACAGTAAATATGTTGAGAGTAGGCAAATCATCTTTTGGTTTACATTTAGACTTAAAAACACAACCACTTTTTAATGTTTCTAACGAATACTAGTAATAATTAACTTTTATGGTACCACATTAGTACCTAATTAACGGTAACTAACTGCTAATTTGTTGTGAATAAAAGTGACCAATATTTAATTAATTTAAAACTGGATGGTTTATCAATATCACTCAATTAGTGCCATCATTCGATAACTGAAATTTTGCTGTTTGAACATTGGTCTCTTTGAGAAGAGCTTTAGTATTACTAGGTGCATAGATCAGAGGGTTGATAACTTTAAAGTCATTCCATTCGCAACTATTTACATAAGAGAAACTGTTTTATGTGATACACAAGGCTCAATGACTGCTGCAGTCGTTTTCAGTTGACATTAATCCGTGATAAGAATCAGTATGAAATTAATCAGTCTATATGAAACCCTTAGTTAAGTTACAATTCACTGGTGGCTGAAGATGAATTTCTTGGGGTTTTAGACGGAAGTCGTGACCTAGGAAGTCAACAAAGACAGAAGTGAGGATTCATGCCAGCCTATGATATTGGTTAGTGGTCATGGTACATCTCTAATTGGTAGAAGCAGTATTTGGTTCAGACCCAGCAGTTAAAGTAGTTGCATCGTCTTTATAAGACCTATAGGTTCCTGAGCTGATTGTTTCAAGTAGTCATCGATGTGAACTTCTAAAAAGTCCCAAACTGAAACAAAATAGCTGTTCATTTTCACCATGTTATCAAAGGTTCTTCAGTTGACCATTTTTGTCGTCATTTTGTACAACGAGCATGTAAAAAGTTAGTGACCTAGGATTCTCAAATACTGTTAATAGTTCAATGAGTGAAAGGAAGCTGGTAATTCAAATCAACGAGAATGAATGAAATGAACTCACCAATCTTGTGCTTGCTCATGCAATAGGCAATGAATCACACCTATTGTGTGGGGGCTGATAATACCATCTTGGTGTCCAAACCTAGGTGGGGTAGAGGGAGGATCGAACCGGTTACTCACGGGTTGCAATTTATCCCCCTAAACCAATGAGTCATAACTCCACTGATTAAAAAGAAACGAAGAAATACGCTGTAAGAAATTGCCATTATTAAGGGCTTGGTAACATGAGATAAATAATAGCCGAATACTTAGGAAGCAGATGTTAGCACTGTTAAACTGATTTACTTATAACTTGAAACAGACAGTCTCTCAAGATCTGTCAATCCATGTAAATTAAAGAAAATTCAAAGCTAATAGGAAGTCTGTTGACTATCTAGATTCAATAACGTTATGTGCTAACATCTCCAAGTGAATTTTCCTTGTTTGAATTGATACCCTTTACCGGTGAACACCTTTTGCATGAAGTGAAATCGGTTCATTTATTACTACAAACCATATAACACTAAATAGCCATTTCACTACAATCTGATGCTCTTTGGTTGCTGTTCCTATGGTCGAATATGTATAGTCTTCAAGCTACAACACATATATCTCGTAATTATGCTCTAACATAGATCTCTTAAGCTAGTATTCAATGAATAACCTTCTTCGACTTAATCTAATTACTTAAACGAATTCAACATATTCACATCCTATCAATGATAACTTGTGGTTTATTGTTAACCGGTTCACTGATAGATCACATTTCATCATATCAACCTTTGAAATTCACTTTCCTAAGCCAATTATTATTTGATGGATTATTGTAAAAGTGAGTGGCCATAAAGTTCAAACATAACTTTTAAAGTGAATAAACATCAGGATTCCATAAGGCATATCTGTAATAGTATAATTGTTTTTATATCATACCGTCGTTGATTGGAGCGAGTTGATCGGTCTCTATTGGCATATGAGCTCCTGTGTGGATGCCTCGATATTGCTTGAGTTCTAATTGAGTTAATGATGGATCGTGGCTAGCAGTGGAATCCAGGATGCACATTTCGTCCTATTTGGGACTCACTAGTCAGCTGGATGTACCTGCTTCCCAGCGAGTGATGTTGTCCCTACCGGGATTCGGACTCGGGAGCGGTAGTGTAGTGGATAACGCTCTGGCGTTTGAAGCGATAGCTCCCGAGTCCGAAACCCGGTGGGAACAACGTCACTCACTGGGAAGCAGGTACATCCAGCTGACTAGTGAGTTCCAAATAGGATGAAGTGTGCATTCTGGATTCCAGTGCTAGCCACGATCCATCATTAACATATCTCTAACAGATTCAAAACTATGTCAAGATAGTCTTTCAGCACTTTCAGATTTTCTGTATTTGCTCAGGCGTAATACATTTTTTCATACAATCAATTTTAAATGTATGAAGTTCCCTAAACTGCCTAGTTAAATGAACATGTTCATCACCCACAACTGAAATACATCCATCCATATACATTCAGTAACTGTGACCCCGAATAATCTTTTATTTGTATTGCTTTTGTTTGATAAACGATAATGCACAAACAGTGGAGTTTAGGACTTACTTTCCGTCCTATCTGGAAATTGTTGGCCGGATGTATCTGCACCCCAGTAATTGATATTGTTCCTGTTGGAACTGGAATCTAGAACCCATCGCTTCAGATGGAAAAGCGTTGCCCTCTAAGCCATTGGGGTATGAAAGCCATCACTTTTGTAACGGGTATCGCTTGCTGTTTATTGCAGCATCGAGACATCCTCAAAAAAGCCCATCTCCCAAAAGAGGTCGAGCGATTCGATCCAGTGTAGCAACGGAAGATGACAAGTAACAATAAACAACAACAACTGGTACGCGTTGCAAAAGTGGTGGCTTTCGTTCCACAGTTGCCTAATGGATAACGCTTTGCCATTTGAAGCGATGGGTTCTGGTCCGGGTTCAAGTCTCAGTAGGAACATCACTCACTAGTGTGCAGGTACATCCAGTTGACGAGTCACAGATAGGATGAAATGTGTGTCCTTGATTCCACTGCTACCCACTATCCATCATTCCTACTAGACTGTTACAAGTATTTTAATGCACTAGGTTTCTCCAGTTACTGCATTGAATATAACCATATTTTATCTAGCAAGTTATTTGTTTACTTGTATCTTTTTTTTATCCTTTCCAATATGTAATAGAATAAACTTAATAAGGAGGATGCCATACATTTAACACTTATGAGAATGAAGTAAGTTAACTGAGATTTGTTTTATTATGATATTTATTGTGTATCGTTCATAGTTGTCTTTATAACCTGTTATATGAATAACAGCCTATGCAGTTCTGATAGATCACCATGATTTTCAACTTGAAAATAAGAGTTGTGATGGTTATGTGGTTGTTTATGGTAAACTGTTTGCTTCGAAAAGGAATCTTATTGTTCACCCTTAACCTAAGAAAAATATGCATATATGAGCAGGTGTTAACAGTTGAAATTGGTTTATATAGGATTGTTAAAGTAGTGTTATGATTCAAGATTTGCACTAGATTGTGTAATGTTTTTGTTTTAATCTCTTCAATTCTTCTTCATAGGTCCCTAGTTGTTGTATTCCCCGTTAGTTTCAAAGTATTCTATAATGACACCTATTATACAACACATCGATCTCTATATATCACCTTAACTATGCCGCAAAAATGACAAAATATCAACAGTGACATCATGATGACAACATTGATGCATGAAACATTTGTGATCACTTTATGGATAAAAGTGAATGACAAATTTTAAAGGACATACTGGTTTTCTACTTCATGGATTCCCTTCTCAAAATTGTGTGTGATAATGACAGAAGTAATATACTGTGAACCTGCGCGATGCATTTAGTATTACTTGACAAGTCAGGTGTATTCGCAATATTTATCTAGTACACATGATGCTTCTGACTGTTGATGTGAGCCGTGTGGAGAGACGTAGACCTCTTCTATGCCTGGTGTCCTCGAGACGATAGGAATCAGTAGTTGAGGACTAACTCTTGGTGACATGCGTGGAAATCAGTCTCAACGGCGCAAATCCATTCACTGCCTGAAATCTTCTAAAGCTTGAACATTTGTTCTAACCGTTGTCTTCAGGTTATTTACTCTCTCACACTACTTTATCTACTTTGATATCACTCTTTTCCTATCCATCTGTTCTTTATGCACTACTGTGAAATGTAATGACTTGAACCTATGCAATTGTGTGCGAAGGTTCTACGTTGATTCTATTTGTCTATCTGAAACACCACCTCTAAAACTTAAACCTTGATTATTCGGTCATAATTTAGATCAGAACCTGGAATACATGTGTGTGTACCAACTGACCATCGAGAATCCATATATCATCACCAGGTAGGAACCCAGCGAACTGTGCATTGGCTAGATTCTCTACATCAATCAATAAGTTATGATTCCTGATTTTGACTTAAGTACACTACTTTGTATCAAGTTGAAAACCATATGTTCAGAAGTATATGGTGAATGGGAAACATTGTTTACAGATATCCAAACCAAGTTGGTATTCGATGGTTTGAAAACCCCTTTTTATTGAGATTTGACGAAAAGTGAGTACTTCGTTGCTGAAAGATATCAGTGATCCCTAAAATGGCCAGACCCCAGTGCCTCTTATCTCACTCTGCTATGAGTTTCCTCCAAAACTTAGGCACTAAAAAGGATTCACCACACTATCACATAAACTACAGACTACATGCTATCACTTGGTTAGTGAACTTCACTCAGAAATAAATATATATGTATTATAAGTCCTAGTCTCTATTTCTTTTGATTTCGTGAAAATAACCTTCAGTGATTTTTATCATCAGGAACACTTTGCGATGGCATTAAACAACGTGTGACCACCTACAACACAATACTTCAATTTACCTTCAGTGTTAATATCTGCTAGCATGGATAAACAGTCTAGAAGAGGCAAGTTCGATTGGTCACTACAGGATAACTAACTTCATGCTGTCGAGTTCTATGGGGTGATCGAATTCTATCGATCAGTTTGCAATAAGGCCACCATCTGGTTCAACAGTGCATTTGCCTCCATCCAACTAATTTCTATCAAAGTGCATCATATTGCAAAATGATCTACAGAATTCAAACGGCACCTAGGACCAGACAACACAAAGTTGCTTACCCTGCAGCTACCAATCAGTATGCCTGATTTAGTCCCATAGGATGTTAGCTGCGACTGGAATACTTCAGCTTTGAAGTCTCTGACTGTAGCGCTGGGTGATTCGGGTTTGAATCTCAGGTACGACATCAGTTCCATCGACGTTGCAGACACACCTTGCTGACGAGGGTCAGAAAGGACGAAGCCTAGGTCAAGCAGGGCTTCCTGACGATTGACTCTATCCGACTAACACAGACAAGTCTCTCTGGTTACATAAAGATGAAAAATTTTGTATTTTAAAGCAAAAATTGGAATGTTATGCTGCACTGTATTATTGGAAGATGTATGATTTATATTTGTATGTACATCTAATTAAATATCACGTGTAGTCAAGCTCCATCGATGAATTAATACAAGCATAACCAACCGGAGATCAAATTTTTAACTGTGAAACTGAGTGATTTCAGCTTCATATCTACAAGCGAGTATTATTTGCTTAAAATATGCTGGTCATTCTTGTATATTTGAGTAATTAAAGGCATAATATCTTGGTTGAGAGCTTCCTGAAAAAGGCCTTCCCTCATCAAGTACATAGGTCTTAGTAACGTTATTCAAGCACTATGTATTTTATTGTATTAAATATTTTAAATGAGATACTCTGTCCAGTAAGTAGTTTTAGAATATTCCAAAAGGATGTCAGCTGATATGTACGTTATCTGTAATCCAAACCTTATCTGTTTTACTCTCTGGAAAATAAAACACTGTAGACCTGTATTCCTTGCCAGAATATTATTATTTCCAAATCATACAATTATGAAAGATTTATTGAACGATGACTGGGATATCCAATTGTCTTCTTGAGAAATATTGTAACCTTCTGTCTCTATCTGAGAGATACACTCTTCCTCCTTGAGTAACTTGGACCTTTCACCTGTACAGAATAAATTTAAGCATTCAATAAATCCTATACTGATATGATGTTGTTTTTATTAGCCGGTCGCTGAATACATGCAGCATCATATAACCTATACCCTGTTGTACAAGAAGTGGCTAGAGTGACTCGGTAACGTGATGGGTAACACTCTGGCGTTTGAATCTCTTAGTCCCGCATTCGAGTCTTCATGGGAGCAACATCGCTCAGTGTGGTTCAGGTACACCTAGCTGACGAGTCCCAGATAAAACGAAACACGTGTCCTGGATTCCACTGTTAGTCATTATCCACCATTAAATCATATACTGAGTTTCAACACTTTACTTCTTTAATTAATTCGTTTTTATTCAGTGCTATACTGATCCCTGTAATTTGTGCAGAAAATTTCCACTCCTCATGAATATCCTTGTCACACCTTACTTCATCAATACTCAGGAGTATCAAATTTTTTGTATAATTTTTTCAAATGGAGCAAAATAAATTAAATTATGTTTTCCAACTTAGTTGATTCATTAGATTTATCATACAGAGGAAGGATATTATTTATTGGATAAACAGTAAACTATTAAACTGGTAAACAATACTGTTCCCCTATATGATAAATCTAATAAATCAGCTGAGATGGAATTACATTCTACCATAATGCTCAAGTTTTACTCATATTAAATTATACTTTGACTGACAGTTTTTATATTTCTAGTTCAATGGGTGGGTTTAAGTACTGATCGAATTTCAATTACATATCAATCATTGAGTGCATTTCTTTTTTCCAACTGTCACTTGAATAATTAACACGTGACTGTTTCCCTCTTGTCATATTAGCTCCTCAATACAAATAAAAATTTCTACCAATCAGTGACTTCTGAGATAATGTAACTGATGATAAAATGGTTGCCTAGAGGTTTTTTCAAATTACTGAATTACAGTATTCAAAGAATAAAGAATGTCTTGAAAAAGATCAGCATGTTAATGAATCGTATCTTGTCAGCTCTAGGTCAATAAATAGGGTTGGCTTTTGCTACTGTCATTAAAGCCTGTGCATGCAGGAGCTGAATCCTCTTCCGAATTCTTGTCACACTTAAGGTCAAAATAATGTCTCAGAAATTTGTTTCAGACTTCCAGAGCTCTTACTTCTAAGTAATCTCTCTTCGTTTCACATAGTAAATAACATGAAACTAGCTTCTTTTGATGACATCTGATGTATTTTTGACCCTTGAGTTCAACTAACCTGTAAATAGGATACACAATGCAGTTATACTAAATCCTAATGTAGCTGAAGATGGCTCAAATCAAGCGTCTAGTATTTTGCTCATGAAGAGCGTTGTAATGACCTCATTATAATTCTGTTATTTCTTTTTTTACTCTTTCGGGCAACTGTTTTTCCTACTTCTGACACAGTTCACATCTAATACTTTTGTATTCCAAATATGAGTTGGTTTGTTTGTTATGTAGAGTTTTAAAGTTATTTACTGTGAATATGTGGAATGCTAGCATCTCCAACATAGGCGTCTTACACAGGCGTTGGGAGTTGTTGTGGTCATGAGGTATTAATGTTGTAAAGTTGGAGTCTTTGGTGAACCTAAGTATGTTGTATAGCATGCAATATGTCCGCAATTTGTTCTTTTCGTGACTACTTGACCACTAACAAGTATTCCGAAGATTAGGATGAACGCTCAGCCAATACAGTACGGCCTTGATCTGTCCACAAACCATTCCTATTAATAACAGCTTCATCGGGTAACCTACATTCTCCAAAACTTATCCATTTCCACGTATTTCTTGTGAATACATTATACGTTGACCTACACAAACGGTATGTTCTGGATGTGTTAACCGGTATAATGAGTGTACTGTAAAGATCGACTTTGCATGTTGGAACTAGCAAGAGCATAGAGATAAAGATTCAATAACTACACTTACTTTCTATGAATTACAATTGATATTCTGATTTAAACTCAACTTATCTTCCATTTGTCTGTAACACTTTACAGTAACTCCTGTTGGCAACCATTATTCATGTCTTTACTCACCTGATTAATCCATTAGGATGACACGAATATGGTTGATCGGTCATTAATGTCTATTGAAACTAGCGATGAACTGAGTAGCTATTTTCCGTATGCACCATTCATATAACATCACTCAGGGTAAGAGTATACACTAA